AGGGTCTCCCATAAATCCTTCCCACGGCTTTGTTTGGCACCACTAGGAGAAGCAAAAGTTTTGCAGCTCACGGCTGCCCTTTCCCCACATCAGTTTGGCTTTTTGCCATAGTGAGCAGCCCATTTACCTGAAAGCCGGTGAGTGTCCATCCCCAGGGAGCTGTGCTCGGAGCCGTCCCCGCAGCACCTGACGCAGGCTGGGCACCGCCAAGCCATCCCTCAGCAGGGCACAAGCCCGTCCTCGCTCCCTCTTCCCAAAAATCAAAGCGTCACCCAAAGGACAACATCCCTCCGTTGTCACCATGGATATCCCACGCATAGCACTGGTTATCCTTGCGCAGGGCAGCAGGGATGCACAGAGAAACGAGCTCACTTGCTCAGGGTGATGGAGTGAGATGGTGCCGGTAGCCCAGCACTGTCGCCCTGAGGTCCCCAGCACCACCCCCCAACCACCCAGGACTCATCCCGGCACTAATTGTGGTGGCGGAGTCGCAAGCCCGTTGCCCAGATGCAGATGCTGCTGGGAACAGCATCATATTCCTGATTTGACAGCGCCACCTCGTGAGGTGGCCCCGTTTCTGAGCATCCTGCGGGGTGCAGGCACCCACTTGTCCCCCAGCCCCTACCCCGCTGCCTGCAGCCCCCAACTCTGCGCACAGGCGGCTGCGCAGCATCACGCGTGTTTTAACCTGCCCGTGCCCACGCAGGGGACAGTAAGAGGGACTACAGTGACAGAAGGGGACACTCCTCCTAGGCAAGCGCAGGGATGTCCAGTGCAGGAGAGGCCACAAAACTTCTGCTCCCCACTCTCCGCGGGCTACCAAACCCTTCTCGCTCCCCCCGACAGCGGAGCCGCATGCAAGCCAACCCCCTTCCCTGCTACAAGGCACATCAGACGCCCCAACAGTGCCCAAAACTTGGAGGGTGCTAGCAGCCCTGCCAGGTCTGACACCGTGGCGTGACAGAAAGGGGGGTTCAAATACCCACCTGGGGAGCAGATTCCTCCTCCTGCCAGGGAAACAGGTCACTGCTGCTGCAAGAGAGAAGTGGTTCCTTCGTTCTTTCTCCACTTCCCACTGAGGGTCTCCAAGGTTGGCTCTCAGTCCCAAATCTGATGAAGCAGGATGGCTAATAAGGAATATAGGGTCGCTCTGGCCAGGACAGACGTAGCAGGGTCTCTGGTGACATTTCCATCACCTCCCGAGCAGACATGCCAACGAGGCCAAGGTGCTACCAAGACCCTGGTTTGAAGGCAAGAACTTTGCCCAAGTAGGGAGAGGGGAAGGGCTTAATTTTTGGGACTGCCCAAGTGTGTTTGCAGGGCTGGTGGTTTAAGAAGTGGTATTTCCCCAACGACAGCAAAGAGGGAAGTGCCGAGAGCCCTGCGCCGTGACGACGCGCCAGGACAACGTGTCATAATCGGCATGGCATTCCGGAACACATCCCTTGGACACGGCAACAAGATGGTCACCGGTGAGCTACCTTTGCTAGGGGCTACAGCCCCTCTAAGGACACCCCAAAGGGGACAGTGGGGAAGAAGCAGTGTTAGGCTTCCAAAACCTGGGTGCTCCTGTGACACAGCTGTGCCTTCACGCAAGGAGGCTGATGCTGGTCCATCTCCTCACATGGAAGTGGCACTACTGACACACTGCCCTGATGTCCTGGGTGGATGGGGTGGGCGTCTGCAGTGATTGTCACTCTACCCAGAGACGTAAGCTGTCCCCAGCCTGACGATGCCTGTTAATTTGGGGGAATTCACTACCAGAACCTGAGCAAGAGGACTCGGAGCGCTTCAGGGCTGTGGGGCTGGAGCTCCAGAGCACAGTTCCTCTCCATGACAGCAGGATTGTACCTGCTGTCTGTGTAAAGTGGGAGAACACAACTCATCCCCTTCAGCCACGGCACCTCCTTTCTCCTGCCCCACAGATGCCACCGCATTTGGGTCCAAATTTTCCCATGCGTGCTGGGGACAAGCCCATACTGCACATCCCCTAGAGCTGTCCCTCCCCAAAGTCATCCTGTGGTTCACATTTATATCACACTCAGCAACACAAATCCCAGGCAACCTTCTCTTCCCCCCTTTGTAGACACCATAGCTTCCACGGACATGGGGCTTCTGCTGAGAGACGATGTTTTTGTCGACTTTTTCAACACGTTTCTGAATCTTCCCGTAAGTCTGCTCTGAACCATAAAGCCTGGGACCTTTCTGAGTTCTTCTCTAGTGAACTTTCAGCTCCTGTGGTGCTAGAGGCCCCGGGGAAAATGTGGAATACACCACATTCAGACTGGAAAATGAGGGAGACGTGAGGACCTTTGCTTGGATATAAAAGGGGAAGGCGATGCTCTTCTCTGGGCATCTGTAGTGGGGACTAACTACAGCAGCTGGGCTCTGGGCTTCCCTGCCACCCTCCACCTCTTACAACTCTCCCCTTTCCTTCTGATACAGGTTTTTGGCCAGACACCCATTTACATCACCAGCATGGGCCGGTGGGAGCTCTGGCCAGAGCTGCCAAGCCAGCTGGTGAGAAAATCCCCTTGCAAGGAGGGTGAGGAGGAGGGAGGAAGGGCACAGGACAGAGGAGGGAAGGAGCCGGTTCATCATTGCCCAGGCCACTCTTTGGCTTTCCTGTTCGTGCAGTCTGGGGATTATTTCAAACCCAGGCATCATTTTGCTTTAAGCCCTGGGAAGAGCACAAGCCATTTAACATCCCGGTATGTGGGCAGCTTATGGGGTCCATCCAGCCCTCCGCAAACATCAATAGCTGGTGTTAAGGAGAGCACGTGTGATGGCAGGGAAGGACATGAACTGAGCCCCTTGTGTCCCATATTCCTCCAAACCAAGGTCCTGTCGATCCTTAAACTGGCTTAGCCCTCCCCACGGACATCCCCCCTTCCCCACAGCCACCAGCGCCGTTTGCACTACTCAGATCCCACAGCAAAAGGGAACCTGTTCCTCTCGGTGCTGCCGGAAAGCTGCCGTGCCTTCCTGCCTGGGCTGGGGGAAAGCAGGCAGGCTGCGAGGAGACGCAGCCACGCATCGCTGGGTCTCCCAGGTTTGCAGGCAGAGCTCGCAGGGATGCAGGCAGGAGCTATAGCTGGAGTAACCCCCTTCTTTCTCAGCATGGGGGATGGCTTGCATCACCATCTAGCAACACGCCGCCTTCCCTGCCTCCTTCCCCATAGCAGGGGCCCATTACTCACCCTAATCCCCAGGCAAGAGACGACTCCTTGTTCACAGCCTAATCCTCTCCTTGGGCTTGGGGGGGGATGCAACGCAGCTCCCCAGCTTTACTGGCTTGGCTGGAAAAGCACCGGCTGCCTCACTTCTGCAAATCCACCCTGTGCCTCCACCTCGTCCTCTGCCAGAAGCTCCTGGGCTTCATTCGGTCGGGGGAAGCAGGTGAGTCATCGCAGCACAGGGGAAATCGGAGCTGGGCTTCCTCTCGCTGGGGCTGTCACCGCCTGGTGCCGGCCCAGCGGGCTGTGCCTCTGCTCTGGGTTCAAAAGGCATCGCCCGTCCCATTTTTAGGGATGCAGCAGATCCCAGGTTTTCCATGAGATGAGCAGGGCTTTACCCCCGAGGTACAGGTTTGCTGCCTTTGTGGGGTTGAGATGAAACAGCTGCTTCACATGTTTGCCATGAAAAAGCTGGCATGGGAAGAGGCACGATAGCTGGGCGGATTATCACCAACGTGACTGGGTTGTACTGCATCAAACACCACACGTGCATCCCACAATCCTGTCCAAAACTCCCATTTTGGTGTGATGTGCTGGGCTGCTGGCTCACAGCAGAGGTTCCCTCCAGCAGCCTGCATCAGGGGGGCTGGGAAGATGCTTGGGGGGGCTAGGGAGTTTTCTTGGGGGCTGCTCCTGCGTGCAACCCCCCGATGCCATGCTCTGCACTCTCTCTGACAGCAAAACTGCTGAACTGGCAAAGCGCTGACTGGTGGCTGCTGGAGAAGTGCATCAGCGGGAGCCAGGGCATGTGGCGCTTTCGAGCCTTCCTCCAAGGAATGGCAGGTGGGTACAGGGTGCTCCACAGCCCGTTCTCAGCCACATGTGGGCCAGCTGCCCCGTGGGACACCAGCACAGAGCCAAGGGCACCCATGGGACAAGAGACCAGGAGACCCTGCGATGTCCAACATGTCTTTGGAAGATGAGTCCGCAGCAGAGCCCCAGAGTGGGTGCTGCATGCTGAGGAGATGCATAGCCCTGGCTCTTCTCTACACTGTGCCCTTAGTTCATCCAGGCAATATTTCCTTCTGTTCTTTTTAAAAAACACAGGCTACTTCGTTCATCTGCAGGGCTTTCGGGGACTCCCTCCAACTTCTTTCCCTTGTCTGATCCATAGGGGAAGAACTGACGGACTTCTGGCTCATCACCGAAAGACTCCTAGGGCTTGACGAGTCGGATGAGGGGCAGAGGGATCTCTACCTGTCCTTGCTCCACAGGCTGAAAGCCACTCACTTGCGTGAAGGCTCCAGCGTCATCACGCTCTGCAGGACCCTCGTCGGTAAGAGACATGGGAGCTGGGGATGAGCAGTGCCTTTCCAGCCAGGTGAACCTTCCTGGATGCTCCCAGGAAGATGGGATACCATCACCAGCTTTGCTTGGCTGGAGAACTCCCTTGGAACAAACAGGTCTGGATGGAGCCAGGCCCCCATCATAATTCCATCCATCCATCTTAGGGTCGCTGCTGAAAGCCAGGCACGTTCAGCCCATCAGTACCAGGAGGGAGATCCTAAGCAAGATGCAGGAACAGGCCCTTTTTGTGATTCAGAGTTACTGGCTTCCTAAATTCTTCATCCACTGCAAGATGTACATGGAAGAAGAGGAATTGTGCCGGCCTGTGCTGCAGGAATATCGGGAGCGTTTATTCCAGGCCAGATCGCAGGAGCCCTCAGGCTTTTTGGAGAATCTCTTCACAATGCATATTAAAGGGAGCCAGGGTTTTTCAGGGCCGTACTGCAGCAAGAAGGCCAAAGCGGAGATCTGGACTCTGGTCAAGGAGGGAAAAGACACCCAAGAAATGAAGATGCCCAGTTTTTGGGTGCAACCAGAAGGGCAGCTGGGGCCAGCTGGGAGCACGAAGGAATCACGTGCACATAAGGATGCTTTGGGATCGATTCCTCAACAGTCGGAGCATCCTGCAAGCACTGCCTTCGGAGGCAAAGGAGGAGAAACCTCTCCCAAAAGACCTAGACAGGTCCTTCCTCTGGAAGACCTCTGTGAGGAGCAAGTCCTCCCTCACCTGCGTTCCTCTGCACCCCTTGTCCGGCTGCCATCCCTGAAAAAGCCTGTCAAGACCTTGAGTTTCCTTCCCTGGGCCCTTAGTGCTGAGACCTGCGCAGGACGGCCCTTCAGGGACTTCTTGATGTGCCAGGACCGGTCTGTGGAGACTCGTCTCCTGGACCTGTGGCACGACCTGGAGGAATTTCTGCCTGTGGCGCTGGACCCCAGCAGAGAAAACAGTTTCTTCCTGCGTCGTTTGATCGGGGAGAAGATATGCAAGACTTACCTGGAGGAAGGCATCATTCAGCAGCTTCCTTTGGAGACCAGGACTCTCAGGAGCTTGCGGAACCATCTGATGTCTGGAGAATTCTCCCCCTGGATATTCAGAGCCCAGAAGGAGATTTGCAAGGTACAGAGCAGTGCTGGCAGCGGTCAGGCTGGGAGGTAGAGGTGGTGTTGGCACTCCTGGGCTGGTGTAAGGGCTGTGGGTATGTTTAAGAAGGGAGGTATTTGGGAAATGAAGGTGAAAATAGATTAGGAAAGGAAAAAAAAAAAGCCACAAGCCACCTTGCACTGGCACTCGTGACCGAGGGGCGCCAGGCCAGTGGAGAGGAGCATCCCTACTGGTTTGCTGGGCAGTGGAGCAGAGGTGAGGAGTTATTTAGGAGCTGGTCACCTCAGTTGTTAGATGTACATGCCAAGGGATGGCAGGGCAGTGGCCATCCTTTCACATCCAAGCTGCTGGTTCCAGCAGGACACGAGTAAAATGTTGTTACAACCCAAGCCCTTCCAGGCAGCCTCTGAGCAGCCCAATGGACTGATCTGGATGCATAGCCCCTGACAAAGCTGTCGTGGCCATCTCAGTGAGGTGTAGCCTGCCCACAACATCACTGCTGCGACCTCAGGGTATGGTGGGGCTGGGGGTGGTGGTTGGTGCTGGAGCACTGACTGAGGACAACTCACCTTTGCTCCTTCCCAGGTGCTCTGCTGCTTCTACGAGGAATTTCTGGCTGATGATGACAGGACATTCCTCCGGTTTATGGTAAAGGGGATGAACAGGGGACATGGGCATCCTCCTGCAGTGTGCAGGCACCAGTGGGGATGTGAGAAGTTGGAGAGAAGAAGGGAGGAGAAGCCGAGCAATTAGCTGCAGTGGTCCAGCATCCCACGGTGTCCCCCAGTCAACAGCAAAGCCTGCCCTGCTCCAGCTGCCTGCAGCAATGATCCTCAGCCTTTCCAAGCACCTCCTAAGTCAGCAGCGCTGCAGGCACACCCTGCAAGAGCTCCCCTGAGACAGCCCATGACCCAGCCCAAGAGCAGGGAAAAACTTAAATGCAGTGTTTCAGGGTAGGCAGAGGGGGTGAGGCCAGCAGCAGACAGTACACTGGATAACTGCCTCATGGCTTCCCACTCCCCCTTTTTTCCTTGCCCACAGCAAATACAGCTATTAATGTGACTCATGTGCAGACACACATGCACACGTCCCAGCACGAGCGCCTGGCCAAGACGCTGGGGAAAGAGGGCATGCAACCTTTTAGCCTGTGATTCAACAGCACTCAAGTTTTCCATATATTTTTTTTTTCCTCTCCACTGTGTAAAGGAATGATTTAAGACGGCAGAGGCATACAAGCACTCATCTTCCCGGATTATTATCCCTTATGACAACAGAAATCCCACTAATACCAATGCCCTAAATGCTAGCCTTATACCAGAAAACTTCCTCCTGGGCCAAAACCCCGAGCATCCCACCTGCATCCCTGCACAACCCATGCAGGCAATTTGTTCATTCCTCCAACCACAGTGTAAAAATCCAGCAGTTAATCCTGGTCATGGAGATGGTAGGGAAAAGTTTCCAGGTCTACTGCCCCCAAAGACCCGGTTCACAGAGATGCCAGCATTTCAGTCTGCTAGAACTGAGTGTTTTGGAAAAGTCACCTAGCAGCTCCTGGCCCTGATTCATTAAATACTCTTGGGTGTAAGTTAATTAGCCACCCAGGTTTTTAAGCATCACTTACCAAGGAAATTACCCCTCAGAGCACAGACCTGGTCTGAGAATGCAATTAGCACTTCAGCAGGTCTCAAGGCCATGATCTCTGCAGGCACCATCCCCGAAGCCAAACTCCTCCCGGCTCTCGCTGCACTGATGTCAGGGGAACTGCTCGAGGGCTTTGCAGTGTTATTTTTGGTGCTCGCTCTCAGCAGCATGTATCTCAGTCAGAAAGCTGCTGCCTTTGCTGGCCAGCCGTTTCCTGGACTACCCCGGGGACCCGCTGCATGTCCCCAGTACATCCCAGCTGCAGGCAGATGTGAGCCAGCTTTAAGAAGCTGCATGGGTAGGTTTAAGGTTTATGCTGAGCCTTGTGCTCATGGAGATTTCTTCCAGACAGCTTAAAGCTCAAGCAGAGAAATAACCTGGGTAGGTTTATACTCTTAAAGCACAGTAAGGCGTGCACCTAGCCCATCAGGCATGGCGCAGGAGCGGCACCGCAGACGAGGTACGTACTCGGTGCAATCACCCTCTGCTCTCCTCACTCTAGTCTCCACAGGGCGATGTCCCAGTGCCCGAGATGCAAGGCCACGCTGTTGGGAATGATGAATTTTTCCTCCTGTCCCAGCGGATAAACCAGTCCTTGAAGCTGAGCCAGGCTTTGCATGGCACGAGGAACTTGGAAAGTCTCTCCTCCGAGCACTGGCGATTAATTGCCACTCAGGACCTCCAGAAAGGGGGCTCTGTACAGGCAGAAGTGGAATCTCACCTCTGCAGCACTGGTAAGACAAGGCTCTGAATTTCTGCTGTGGCTCATGTTGGGTAAGGCTGATAAAGCATATTTTGTACCCCCGTGGTGACCAATGCCCCAGCGTGCAGCTGTATTGCTGACAGGGCATCACAGAGTGGGTTGGGACAGGCTACCTGGGAGCTGTGATCCAAGCTTTGGCAGTGACCTACAGGCCAAATTCCCTCCTGCCAGTAACAGAGGTACCAAATACCACATCCCTACACTGGCCTGGGTCACCAGATCAAATGGAAGCTGCAGTAAAGTGACTGAAACCCAAAGCCAGTGATAGCCACTATCACCTCACTTCCACATCTTGACCCTCTCCTGTGGGTGCTGGGCCTGGCCGTGCTGGTGTAACGCCTCGGTTTTGTCTTCTCACATCACCTTTTGAGGCTGACATCAATCAGCTGGTGCTGAGAGTGAGAGCAGTCACCTGTAGCAACCCCTAGGTAGCATGTGGGGCCACGGTCATACCTGAGAAATGCAGTGTCATGGGTAGATCATGGGAACAGGACACACATGGGATCTCTCATGGGAAAGGGAAGGTGAGTAACGGTCACAGTAGAGCACTCAGAGCAAGGGCTGAAGGGCTGTTGTAGCCAGAAGGAATGAACATGGGATCTGTCCCTTCTTTATCTGATGCAGACTCGCAGACGACGATGTCAAGTGAGCTGGCTGTGGGTAGCCCAAGCAAGGAGAAGGAACCTCCGTGTCTCCAAAGCCCACCCCTTGGTGAGTCCGGTGTGAACAGGCTAGAAGCAGGGTGGGCTCCTAACCATCACACCCTTGCGGGTACTCCAGCATACCCTTAGGGGACTGGGCAAGCAGGGGTCTTCCCTGCATCCCATCCTCCAGTAGAACATCTCCAGAAGGAGAGAGAGGCTAGCCATCCTTGAAAGGCATGGCTTTTGGGGTGTTGGTCCAGGCAGAGGGTGGGAGTGGGAGGGCTTCTCTGAAGCGGATGCTGAGGAGGTTGGACCATGCGGAGGTGAAGAGTTCCCACAGCACCCGGTGTCTCCTGAGCCGGGCTCACCGTGCAGACATCAGCAGGGTGGCTCTGGGGTCCTTTGCCCTGTGGACAGCTGTGAGCAAGCTCTGGCTGTCACCTGAGGAAGGGGCCAATCCTGTTCTCTCCCCACAGCCGTTGAACCTGAAAACAGAAAAAAGAGGACTGTTCCCACGAGAAAACCCAAATCAAGCGTGACAAATTCCACCGCTGTTGCAGTAGAGAAGCCATCTAGAAGATCCAGGTCTGGCACTTTGCAGCTCAGGGCTCTGCTGGTTTTTGCTACTTCCACTCTTACAGGAAGAAGATTTTTACCAGTGCTTTCCTGTAGAATCCTGTAGTGCCACTGCTTCATCACGGGGCCCTCTTGGGTGTAGACATGGGTAGCCCTGAACTGCAGAGTTACCAGGAAAAGGAGAATACTCCAGACATGAGTCCTCGCAGCTCCACACTGGGATATAAATGGTCATCAGGACACAAGTCCTGAGTAGGAGCAGGTCTTATTGTTTATTGTGAGAATCAGTCTCAAGAGCCATGCTTAAACAAAGGAAATATTTGACCCAGTTCACTGATCTTCAAATAAGGTCTTGCTAACCTCATAAATGACCCAAAATCCCAGCCCACTTCCAGCTCTGGTTTTCCAAAGCTCTGCTGAATCTTTTCAATGTTGATGTCTTCTGACTTTACATCTATCAATAATCTACTGATCTGCCAGTTGCAAGAGGCAAGGATTTTCCACTCCAGAACACCTTCTCCATGGCCAACTGCATGAAGCCCTCTGCCATCCAGTGGCAAATTATTGTTTATTCCACTAGTCCTTCCAGGATGCCCATCCTCACCCACCTCCCTCCTCTGGTCTCTGTGTGGCTGCCCAGTCCATTTGCAGGTTCTGAGGTCTCCATCACACACCCAAGGTCCTGCCTTCTCCTTGACTCCCTGGATTAAACCTCTTCAGGTGGAGACCAGTTCCTTTGGATACATGGCAGCAAAGCTGCTGGATAGATGCACCTATGGCAGAAAAGAAATACCTTGGCAGGAGAATCTCCCCTGGATTCCCAGTGGCTTGGTGGATGATTATCTTAAGGGTCTTTCCCACCTAAATGATTCTGTGGGCAAGACAGACAAGGGTGGATGTCCCATCTACTTCCCAGATCCCACACACTACTCATCCACGTGTTTCTAGCTCTTCTTCAGGTGTCTCTTGGAGAAGACAGCACAGAGGTGCTGGCTATTTTCCATGTCACTGGTGGCGCAGAGATCGCATCTCCTGGTATCTCCTTCCTCTACAGGCACTTCATGAAAGTCCTGCACAACCCTGCCCACCTGCAGTTCTTCATGCAGTTCCTCGAGGAGCGCAACGCAGCCGAACCACTGCATTTCTGGATGGCCGTGGAGAAGCTAGTCGCAGAGACCAACCCCAAAACTAAGAGCTTCCTCATTAACAGCATTGTCAAAAATTATTTCCGTGCTGAAATCCCAGCTGGTAGGTACCCTCCCACCTGGCACTTTACTCCATTCATGATGAAAGCCTGTTTTTCATGAGGTTTTATAGATTTTATATCCTCTTGCAGGGACCTGCCAGTTCTCCTTTCCCATCCAGCGGAGCATTTATTTGCTGATGTCTTCCACTGCCACTTATATTTCTAGGAAGGTGGTCTACTTCTTTGGCAGGATCTAATGACCAAGACCTGCAACACGTAATTCCTGCAGTGGCAGAAATAGCTCTTCCCTATCTTGTCTCCTTTAGATGCTGTTGGAGTCACAACTTCACTCCCAAAGTATGCAATTAGCACAGTATAGAAAGGAAAAGGGATGAGACAACCAAATTTGGTAAACAGCAGACAGGGCAGGTGGAAATGGAACAGGATGCCACTTGCAGATGGGAGAGTAGGAAGGGATGTCATGGTGGCTCGGGAGTGGCTGGTAGGGGCAGGCAATGACCACACTTTTCTTCCAGAGGAACAGCTGGACTGCCACACTTCTATCATCAGAGAAATAAATGATGCTGAAGTAGTCAGCCCCTTCATGTTGATGACAGCGCAGATCCTTGTCCAGAAAGCAATGGAAAAACGATGGTAAGGACCTGGGTTGAGCTGGCTCCTAAGCCCGGTGTTTACACAAGCATCCTTCCCATGGGAACCCCAAGGTGACATACAGCAACTGCTGTAGACGTGAACAGTCTATGAACTCTATGAACAGTCAGTTGCTCCCCTTATTTAGCCACCCTCCCTCCAAGCCACTGCCCTCCTCATGCATCTGGCTGCTCTTGATGCTCCCTGATCTCACATCTGGCAGGTTTAAAAAGTACCAGGACCTGTTCCCCCCAAGTGACACGCATAAATCTAACCTTCGTTTGCAGCCCAGGATCAGGAACGTCACGTCAGACAAGCTGGTAAGGACAGACTCTCTTTGCTGCCAGGCTGTGGATATTGTCCAGAGGAGATGCTGTGGGTCAGGCGGTGCTCACATGGATGGGGTGAGGGGCTCAGACCTGGAGGGTTGAAAAAAGGCAGCTGATAGGTAAAACCTCACTTCTACAGGCTCTGGAGTCCTGCTCCATGCAGACTCCAGCAGGTCAGGAAAGGCCAAGTGGTTCACACTGTCGTATAGCCACCAGTGAAACCCAGAAATACCGGAAAGCAAAGATGATGGCTGGGTCACCAATCCCACCGCCAAGGCTGGGCTCTGGTGCTCCATCTCACAGCGGTGGATCCAAATGGGAGGGCTCTGGGAGCAAGGGACACGGCTGATGCAAGCTGTGCCGTGTCTCCGCAGCGGTGGGCCTGGTGTGTCATCCACGACATCGTCAAGAGCATCTGCAAGTTCTGCAGGGAGATGGACAATGGCAAACACCGTGCAGAGTTTGAGGACTTTCTCCGTCGGGAACTACGAAACGAGGAGGAAAGTATGGCTAGACTTCTGCCACCCCCCTCTCCTCCCTCCTCAAGACAGTCCTGGGTTTGGGTGGAGAAGTAAATGGAGGAAACCTGTGGCTCATCTCCCATCCCCCTATGCTTTGTTTTCTCTGCTGGAGGCCTATAAAGAGCCAGAAGAGCGGGTGTCTCAGGGTACCAGGTGTTGTTGTGCAGAAATCTGCCCACTTAGGTGCTGGAGGCAGGAGATGAGGTCCAGAATTTTGCACTGGCAACATACACGCACACACATTCATGCAACAACTGGTTTTCTGCTGTGGGTGCCCCATGATGCTGTTGCATCTCCCTCAAGCAATAATGCATTGGCAAGTTTGCATCATTTCCACAAAAAAACAGGAGGCACTAAATGAAGCTAAGGTGACACAGGCCAAAAATAAATGGAGATGGTTTTCCATGCAACCGGGAGGTGAACTACAGAGTGATTTGCCAAAGGATGTAGATCCTGAAAGTTTACACACAGGTTTGAGAGGAGACTGGGGAAGCTGTTAGAAAAGAAACCCACTGAAATTGCTAAATACACAGACACTCCATCTAGATCCGGAAGTCCCTGGAAATGAAAATGTTTGGAAGCTGGAGAATATTGTATATTGTGAAAGTAACACAGATGCTTTACTTTTCCTTCTCACTAGTTATCTGCTTCTGGCCTCTGTCACAGGTAGGATGCTGGTGAGGCAGACAGTCAGACTTTTGATCTAATGTACTGTGGCCATCCCCTGTGAAAACAAAGAACATCAGCACCTCATGGGTGCAAAGAGGAGGATGGATGGAGGAGGTTACTAAGGTAGAAGGAAGGTTGCACACTGGATGGGTCTGAAAGCCTGGCTGCAGGAAGGCTGTAGTCCACCTAGGTGGAAAGACCTCAGGAAATAACTTGCATGTAGGAAAAGCAAGCACAGGTGAGGTGAAGGAGCAGGGTACAGGTCAGCATCAGATGCTCAGCCACCCTGGAATCCAGTGCTGGGAGCAGCAGGACACAACAGCTCTTCCCCTCTCTCAGACTTGCCCATGGGTTCGATGCAGAACAGCGGCACCATGAGCACTTGCCACTCGCACACGGCCTCTGCCAGCACCCCAGTGGACAAGGAGGGGGTTCTAGTGAGACGTCACCTGTTTAAGAGCCAGCTCATTACCATCAACTTCCTCGTTGATGACCTCCGCTTTTATCTGGAGATTGACAAGTAAGTTCCCGTTCCTCCGGCTGCTCAGGTACCACCGGTCTCCCTTGGCTCTGGACCAAACCCATGCTGCAGATAGTGCTAGTCTCCAGCAGGGGATAAAGCCTGGTCCATGGATTTGTCAGCACACTCTAAGGTCTGTGCTACCACCCCTAAACTCCTATCAGCACCTCTGTACAAGGCTAGACATCTCATTGCAGCAAAAGACACAACCCCGTTGCTGTCTACGTCTAATCTGCTTATGGTTACCTGCCCCTGCAGCACCTAAACCCCTCCATTTTGACCAGAAAAAGTCACAGTCCTTTGGGTCAGGGCTCCTGTTTGGGTATCCTAGAAGTAGCTTTGATTTGATAGTCCCAAGCATTTTTCCTAGACCTTTCTTGACGTACCAGTTGTGGCGTTTCTCCATTGACTATGTCCAGTTCCCTGACTATCCCATCAGAGCAAGCCATGGCGCAACATCCCCGCAGTCAGCTCACCCCCACATGTGCAAGACCAGGTTATGATTCCCCTCTTTTCCTGAGGAAGGGCAAACCTGACATCCCCCAGGTGAATGCCATGACCCTGAGGGTGATAGAAGAGGGAAGTGGCTTTTCATCCCACCTTTTTCACTGTTCCACACCTTGTGGATTGCTTTTTCTGACCCAGTAAATAGGGAGCTAAGACAGAACACGACTGTCTACCCTAACAGAGCAAGGACTTGTCTCAGAGCAAGACCCCACATGCCTTTGCAGGTTTTCCAGGCTGGCCGATTCAGCTGAAGCTCTGGCAGCCCGCAACATGCAGTCAGAAAAGGAAGTTGCCTTTCTCAAAAGGAAAGTTGCCATCATCAGCAAACTCTTCCTGAACTCTGTGTTCCTCCCAAATTGCGGGTAAGATGCTGGGACCCACCCAGGAAGGCTGCTGCCTGCTCATTGCTCAAGACCATTGCATCACAGCCGTGAGCGGTTTTGGGGAAAGGGGAACCAGGCAGAGGTTTGGATCTGCTCCGGCCAAGATGCTGTGAAGCTTCAGAGCATGCCCTGGAGCTTGGCATCTCCACTTGGGCTCCGTGGGATGGGAACCAATCCACCGCCAGACCCACGCTAGCACTTGACCCAGACAGATGGAGAACAAGTGAATGGACAAGGAGATGGTGAAATCCCTTACCTGATAGAGAAATGGCAGGGCTGAAGCACCAAGATGGGCACTGCACTCCACCAATTCAGTTCTTTCAGTCCCCAGAGGTCAACATCACCATCATCCTCTCCTCACTGCACCTGCCTCTTCCCCTACAGTAGCCATGGCTCTGCCTATCTTCCCTTTGGAAAGCACGGCACAGTGCTTTCTGCAGAAATCCAGGGATGGTCAGCCAGGACATAACTAACATCTCTTCTTAGAAACTGCTGAAATGCCAGGTGGGGTCATGGAGAGAAACATTCCTCTAGGGCCCAGCAGCAGTGCCACAAACTGCTTTGGTTAATCAAGGTCTCTTCTTTGGCCAGGTGAACATCTCCAAAGAAGAGAGAGATTTAATCTGGAATTTATCTTCCAAGGGACTACTGAACCGCATGCTCTACCACAGGGCCAAGGTCATGATCTTCCCCATCCTGATGCACTTCTGGAGAAGGTACTTATTCCCCTCTCTCCCAAGGTGGGGGAGGCTCTGGGAATGACAGCCTTATTCTCCAGCCCCCCCTTCCTCTGACATGATGAAAAAGGAGATGGGACACTCCTCAGAAGCTCCGCTGTAAATGACTGCTTGGAGGTTTGCTGCCTTCAGTATTTCTCATACAGGTTCTGTACCTGGAAGGTGATGAGGAGCTTTCGGGTCTCCACGAAGGACAGGGTGCCAATCTCTTCGTCCAGTACAAAAAGCTCCTCCGAGTCATCCAACACCTACAGTCCAAGTAAGCTGAGTGCCTGTCCTCCTGCTCCACCTTTGTCCTCAGGCTTGTTCTTCCAATGTAGAGATGCCCAGACTGGGGTTTCCCACATCCAGCGGAGTTCCCCTTAAAAGAGCCAAAATCCTGCCTTCACACAGCCACTCCACATAACTCCGAGGTCATACATGGTGCAGGCCTATTGGAAAATGAAGCGTCTTTGAAACCATTCCTTCCCCTCAAATGCAGTCAAAATTGCCCAGGGGGTTTGTAGAAATTTCTTTGGGGAACAGGGAAGAGCATGCAGAGACTTCATGAGCGCAGAGCTGTTGCGTAACTCTTTTTACTTCAAAAACCAAGTTAAAAATATACTTGCACACACCCTAAAACAGAAATACAGCAAGTAATCTTTTGGGTTACAAGTCAGATGGGAGCAGGAAAAGGACCATGTAGCCAAACTCCAGGCTCAGAGGCATTACACGGAGGATGCTTTGAACATCTGGAATGGAGAAGTTGTTTCATCAGGATTTGAGGTGACACTGCAACATCTCAGGGAAAGGGAAAGATTATTTTTTCCACCTTCTTCATCCATTAGTTTAATTTCAATATGTGGAATAACTCTAAACTGAAAAACATGAAGAAAGTGGTGCTGAGTGCTGTCAGTCTGCCTGACAACCTGGGTCCGTGGCTGAATATTCATTTGGTAATTGTCTAATTGATTTTTGATTAAAGGGGAAACCAAAATAGGCATGTACTAATCATGCTTTGACGGTCGAGTGGGTGTCAGCAAGCCAGCGTTCTGCTCCCTGTCATTTATCGCTGTCAAGTTCTAGTGAAAAATCAGCAGAGTTGTAAGATTTTGATACCTTCAGGCAGGTGCTTGAGCTACAGCCCCATAGGCGAGCTGGGGTAACAGACCCCCATGCTGACATGCTCCAAGACTGCCAAGCCACGTCTATTAGCTCAAACCACCCCACACCTGGAGTTTTCCTCTGGATAACATGCAGACAAAACCTAACCCATCACACGTGTATTCCCAGCTAGTGACAAGCCAGAAGCATTGTGTCACACAAGCTACGTGCTGTGCTATCTGGGACAGGCATGTGTTTTCCAAGGTCTTCAGGAAAGTGGTGAGGAGAGGAAGATGTTCAATCAGCGTGATGGGTTGCAAGGGTTAGGACAGTCCCACCGCTGCCCAAGCAGCGCAGTGTTTAACGGCACAGAGGCTCAGAGAGCACATGCACTGGGACACTGCTTTGGAGAGAGAGCTGGGGATCGCACGGAAAAGCCTGTGTTCTTTCTCACATGGACATTAATCCTGCTACGATGTCCCTGGAACAACTCCTGCTGTCTCTCAGCACTGGTGGTGTGTAATGGGAAGAGATGCCTGCTCTCCCAGTCCTCATCCCTCCTGCCCCAGCTTGCTTGGCTGGCATCTCCAGCCTGGGTGGGACGGGCAGATGCCTTGGTAGGGCAGAGCTGTACCTGTGGGGTGCAGTGTGGGCTGGCTCCTGCTCTGCATCACCTCCCAACCTGCCGACAGCCCTGCCTACGGCACTCTGACTGCAGAGGGGAGCAATCCAAATCAGTGTGCAACCCAGAAATAACTGCCGTTTACAGCTGTGCTAATGCCTGTGCCACCTTTTGCTTGGGACCCTTTTCTGCACTTTATCTCCCTTTCACCAGTGACCTTCATCTAAGGATCTTGCTTTTCTGACCTTTAGATAAAAAGCTCGCTTTTCAGCTGGGAAAATTTGGTTATGTTGTCTTTAAAAGGCACTAAAATTGCTAGGGGGGGGAAAAAAAACCAAAAAAACCCACCTGTAATTCCAGATAAAACCTCCTATCGCCCACACCTTGCTTTTTCGCTTATTTTGAGGGTTGCTGCTTTGCGCAGACGCAGTGCGTGCACCACCGGGAAGGTGCCAGACATGAATCCATCTCCCATCACCAGGCGTCACTGTGGCACTGCCTGTGCCTTTACACAGAGCAGAGGGTCCAGCTGAGGCTGGACACGCAGCCTGCACCCCCATCCCGTGGGCAGGAACACGGTGCTCTTCCTGGGAAGAGCCTCCCACGCAGGCACAAAGCCGAGAGCACATCTGTGCGTGGGGACAGCTGTGCACGCGCCTGTCCCCGTCTCTCCAAATGCCTTCCGCCACCAAGGACACCTCAACCCTGCAGCAAATCCAGGGTGGGAGATGTCACCCCCCCTACCCTGCAGCCCCCAAACAGTTTTGCAGTCAAGGAGATCTGGTAACTCATGCCCTCGCTCAACCATCCTTCCGTGACCTCCGTACAAAACCCATGGGATTCAGAGGGGACAACACATCCTGCCATCCTCCCTCATTTGCCATCAGGGCACTGGCCACACAGCACTGCTTTATCTCTGCTCCCTCCCCAGGCCGTCATGCCATCATGGTCTTCACGCTCCTGAAAGGGATCCAGATCCTGCTGCCACAGCCCCAGAAGATGAAGCCGTTGGAGGAGCAAAC